CTTTGGTTTGGAGGTGGTTTGTCACACTCCACAAGGGTTCTGTATTAGGAGCTTGGTTTCCAATGTTGCTATGGTGGGAGGTGGTGTGGAATCTTTAGGAGGTTGGGCCTAGTGAGAAGTGATTAATTAGGTCACTAGGGGATGCCGCCCTCAAAAAGTATTAACGTTATTCACATGGACTGAGTTCCTCAGACAGGGGTTTATTATGAAAAGCACAGGCCATGAGCTCACTCCTTCTTTTGGTGGCCCTGCCACGATGTCATCCATCATGACATGGTATAGCTAGCAGAGCCCTAGCAAGAGCTGCTGCTATGCTGTTTGAACTTTCATGCTTCAAAACCATGAGCTATATAAAACTCTTTTCTTAATAAAGTGTGCAGAGTTGGGGATTTTGTTATAGCAACAGAAACAGGAATAATATATTAAGTACCTAAAATAGTCAAAATCATCAAGGTGAAGAATAGAGTAGTGGTTTCCAGAGGCTGGGGGACAGGAAATGGGAGTTGCTAATCACTGGGTACAAAATTTCAGTTATGCAAGATGAATAAATCCTAGAGATCTGCTGTACAACACTGTGCCTTCAGACAAGAATACTCTATTTATACCTACGCTCTATTAAGAGGGAAGAGCACCTGTTAACTGTTCTCAGTACAATAAATTCTTTTAAATAAAGAATAATAAAGAACTTGCTAAGCCAAGTATGATGGTGCATACTTATAATCCCAATATTTCGGAGGCTGAGGCAGGAGGATCTTGAGTTTGAGACCAGGGTGGGCTATATAGTTAAGACTTTGCCTCAAAAATAAACTTTTTTTCTTTCTCAAAAATAACTTTTAAAAAGGCTTACTAAATAAACAGGAGCTGTAAACAGCAGTGCAGGGAGATACACAGTTTTAGCTGACCAATAAAACCCTTCAATCACTTTGAAAACCATCTTGGCAGAAAGGCTTTGTTCTTAAGCCATAAAAGGGCTCATTGAAAATTCTTCTTCTTCATCCTTCCAAGAAGGACTTCTGAATGGCCCATATTATTCATGGCAAAATTGAAATCAATTCCATAAAGATCTCCTGGGCTCCCATCACATAGCAGGTGCTGAGTTATGGGCTGTGAATGCATAGGTATGGGTACAGGACTGCACCTGCTCTGAAGTAAAGTGGGGTGGTTAGGGACAGGGTCAGAGATTCCAGCATTGACTCTGCCCCTTGATGGCTGTGTGGCCCCGAGCAGGTTGTGTGACCACTCGGCTTTCCTCTGGAAAGCGGAGACGATAATTTGTAGGGTGTTGTGCACATTAAAAGAGAAAAGAATGTCCAAAGTGATTTGCACAGTGCCGTCCACATAGTGAGATGCACTAATATTGCTACCAAACACAACATCAGGCAACATTGAAAAATGCAGCAAGGATAGGAGACACCATGTGGTTCCTTAGGAGGGAGCTGTCTGGTGCTGAGTTTCAAGTCTGGACCAGGGAGTGTAACGAAGTGGTGACTTTGATGGTGTCTGTGAGGAAAGGCCTGGGCCAGGAAGACAGACACAGAGGTGACTCTAAGGCTTCAAGTCTGAGTAACTGAGAGCACAGTTAATTTGGTTAAAATACTACTAAGTCACTTCCTTTGGTGGGGAAGAAGTACCCAGGGGACTTGCCTTGGCATGGGGGGCTCTGAGACCTGGTGCCCTCCAGACCGACAAGCCTGGGCCCCAGGATGAAAATGACCTTTGTGAGCAGGACATTGAGATGGGCCAGTTGTGAGGACTTTGTGTCTTCCTCCAGGTTTGTTCTAAACGAGACTTTTCACACACAGATGGCCAGGGGTCTGCCTTTGTTTGACTCGGGCCAGGAAGAAAATGGGGCAGAGGCTGTGGGTGTAAGCAGGGTGCACAAACAGGGGCAGGAGCTGGTGGCCCGTGACCGTGAGAAAAGACAAGTGGGAGAGTTGAGTTCGGGGGTGGGGCTGCTGCCTGGCTGCACAAAAGTAGGAAAGTTGGGTCTGGGCCCATGTGAGTATCTGGACTGGGCTAGAGGGACTTGGGGTGCAGTTCCCCCACCTTGTGGTTCTAGTGGGAAGCTGGAAATGTGGGCCCAGGCGTAGTTCTGGGAGTTAGGTAGGCAGGTTGGGTGCTACAGATTTGGGGTCAGCCATCTTCATGGCCTCAGGGAAAAGCATAAGCTTTTCCAGCACAGGGTCTGCAGCAGCAGTGCTTTTGACTATACACACCTCCATATGCTGGTTCAACCTGATTTGAGACCACTGGTGAGGCCTGGATATGAGTGTGAGTGTGTGTGTGTGTGTGTGTGTGTGTGCGTGTGAGACAGAGAGAGAGAGAGATGGAGCAACTTTAGGAATTCAGATGTCTACACAGAGTCTGGAAAGGCCGCAGATTCCTGCAAGAGACTGAGAAAATCCCTAGGGCACCCTCTATATCCTCATCTTTCCTTGAAGCCTCATTCTGGGCAAGCTGAGCTCTCTTCTGGAAGGTGCCCTGGATAGCAAGTTCAGAACTCTAGGCCAACCCTGGTATAGACTGGCACTGTGTCCTTGGTCAGGGCACTCAGCCTTTGTCTCCTTTAAGATCAGGCAAGTGCTTAGTCCCTCAGCCCATCAGCCTGGAAGAGCCCAGCTGTCTGACAGTCAAGTGGCAGGTCCCTCGAATGAGTTCTCTGAACCTTTCTTTCCTTCCCTCCTCGGTCCTGTTTCTCTGGTGCACTTAGCTCCCTCCCCATGCTGAGTCATCCTCCCTAAACTTTGTCCCAGAAGGAGGCCTGAGACCCCTTTGCAGATGAGGTGCACTTCCCCCAAGATGGCAGAGCGAAGAACTAGCAGAGTCGGCATTTGAACCTAGGCAGGGGCCTAACCCCAGGGATGCTGCCTAGCCTGGGGTTCTGATTTTTTTTTCTTTTATAAAATGGTGAAAGCCAAAGATGATTTATTTATTCTTTAAGTTTACATGAGCATGGTATGGGTCTGTCTTTATCAAACTGTCCCAAAAAACTTAAAGTACCAGATAAGGGTACATTAGGAAGGGCTCTCTGCTTCTGGTCCATGCAGACCTCCTGGCACCTTCCAGATCTCACACCAGAAAGTCTGTACCACCTCAGGCAGTGTGAAGTGTCTCAGCCCATGCTAGCCCACTTCCTGGTGGGGAAGCAGGTGACAGCAACACCAGCCGGCGTCTACACCATGCAGAGGGAATAAACGGGCAATTCAGGTCAATAAGCTGCACTTGAACAGTGCTGTTCCCTGTCTTGAGGTGACTTGTCAGGGGCACAGGGTAACACAGGCAAGGATGGGAGGACACTGCGGCCATCTGGGCAGCTCCTTACCTCCAAAAAAAAAGCTACATTCAACTCACAGCAAAGGGATGCAAAAGGCAAAGCCAACTGCCCTCTTGGTGCTGCTGCCGAGATGTGGCTTTCGAGAGGGAATACAGTGGGGAGAGGCTGGGGCTGGAGGCTGAAACTGTGAAGCCAGTCTGCATTCAGGCATGTCTGTGAGGAAAACAGGGTTTGCCCACATGGTATGGCAGAGGCTCGGGGTTTTCAAAGCATCCCAGAGGGACCCGCATGCTCTGCTTTCGGCTGACTCTGCTTTGGGCACACTACTGACCGATAAATGGGTGCTCAGAAACACTTGCGAGTGTACTCCTGCTTTACTTAAATTGCTCTACTATCTCCTTCCAGTCAAAATAAAACACATCCCCTGGCCCCACTCCTCCCCTTCAGCCAACCAGCTCCCCGTCTCTGCTGCCTTTCTGAGGCTCTCCTGAAGGCCTTGCCATGCTCCTGTCCTCTCCTCCTCTGACACCCAGGCTCTGTCTCTTTCTTATTACTAAACCCAGCACACTTTTCTGTCCCGGTCCTTTGGCTGTCCAGAGGCTGTCCCTTCCTAGGTCCTGGAGGCCACAGAAGGCTGCTAGCATGGAAGGGGACAGCACAGGTGGAGAGTTGGGCTGGCACCGGCTCCTGTGGAATAACTGCTTTGATGGCGCTCACTGGCTCTTCTGAATTCTTCTTAACACTTGAAGCTACTGGTTGCCTCCTCCCTCCCTGGCCACTCCTCCTCTGTCCCCTCTGTAGCCCCTCCCCTCTGCCCATTCACACCCTCTTCTAGGGTGATGCTATCCCACACGCAGTCTCCAGAGCCCGCTGCACATTGACAGTTCATATGAGTGAATCCCATCTTCAGTGTGACTGCTTCCACGGCTGTAGACCTTTCTACCCACCAACCACGGGGCAATCCAAAGGACCAACAATAGGTAACCCAAATTTAATGTCCTGAAAACCGACTCCTAGCCATCCTTCCACACAATCCTTTTCCAGTACCAGCTATTCCAGAAAACACAAGCATCAGGATGTAACGGGTGACCCCCTTCCATCTCATATCAGCAAGTCCTGCAAGCTCTAACTCAAAAATACAAGGAGAACCCAAACCCTCTTTCCTGACATTCACGGCTGTATTCCCAGCCACCGACCTGGCTCTGGACGGCACCAGCAGTTCACAACCCGGCCTTCAGTTTCCACTTTTACCTCTTTCAGTTCTATCCTCTCAGAGCAACCAGAGTGACCCAGACGTACGGAATGACACCTGGCAGGAGAAGTACCCCATGGAGTTCTTGCATCTCAAAAAAGTTTTTTGGTTGTTCTTATTTATTCCTTTTTCAGACAAAAGTTAGAAGTATGTTCTTTTTAAAACAAACAATCCAATGGTACACCAATCCAACCGAGAGATCCATTCACTGAAATAACACCTCCTGTGTGCAGTCAGTATTCTGGATTAGGACTTACGAAAGCCTGAGTTAACAATACTTTGTGTAAGCGCAATAAATAAAAACCTGGCTTTTGAAGCAGAAGCATGGGGAACTGTATTTCTCTTTATCGAAAGATCAGTTCCTTTATAAGTAATCCAGCCTGGTAGCTCCCGCCACGCCTTCCATTTGCACAAGAGCGGGGTGGAGCCTGCGCCGGGGGCGGGGCCTGCGCCGGGGCGGGGCGAGTCTCTTACCTCCCTGAGGCAAGTGTAGATGGGGCACACCAGCACGCGGAAGGGCTCTCCGGTGCTGCTACGCATGGTGCCAAACACCTCGCACAGGAAGGTGATGAAGCCCAGCCAGCGTTCCACGTCCTGCTGCTGCAGCTCCTCGCGCACGGTGAAGTCTTTCTGCGGAGGCACAAGAGACCATGTCAGCCTTGACGGGACCAGGGAAGAAGCGCTGTGCCGCAGTGTCTGGGGCCGCAGGCAAACCCCGTGTCTCACCTGAGGCCTGGTTGGGGGACCCGTGGTCTTACTGAGGGAAGCAGAAACACCCTGTCCCGCGGCCAGGGCATCTCTTCTTCAGGCGGCCCTGGGCCAGGGGCACAGCTTTCCCTCCGCTGGGCAATGCCTAGACCTGCTGCAGGTCACTACCCTCTTCACGGAGGCACTCCAGCCTTGCCTTGCTGGCCCCAGTACTGAGGAGGGGGCCAAATGGGGGCCTCCCCCATTCCATTCAGCCTGGCTGAACTCTCTACCTTGGCTAGCCCCTAAAGCAGCCCTCTCCATAGGACAGGGTGAGGGGGACATTGTTTGCCTGCATGGGTCAGCAGTGGGCCACAGAGGCCCATCTTAGTCCCAGCTCAGGCTAGAAACTCCAACCCCTGCCTGCAAGGGGCCTGAAGGATAGTAGGAGACACCGACTCATTCATTCGTCCTTGCTGCTTAAGAATGATTGGGCTGGGGATTTAGCTCAGCAGCACAACTCCTGCCTGGCAAGCTCAAAGTCCTGAGTTCAATTCCCAGTACCAAAAAAAAAGAATATGATTGTGCTGTGCGCCAGACACTATAGGAGGAGCTGTGATAGGGCGTGTTCACTCTTGACTGCAGTACAAGAGAAGTAGTATTAAAACTATCAGAGGGTTCCAGTAAAGGGACTTCGGGAGAGGTAGAAGTCAGTCTTCTCCACTGGATTCTGACACGGGGACAAATAGCAAGAGAAGTCAAACTCGTTGAATAGAAAGGATGTTGACTGCTAGTGGTTGGGGAGAAGTGGGCCCGGGAGTCATTTAATGGGTAGAGTTTCAATCTGGCAAGACAAAAGTTTGGGAGATTGGTTGTCTGTCAATGAGAGTATAGTTAACATTGCTGAATTGTACACTTGGAAATGATCAAAATGGTAAATTTTAGGCTTTTTATTACCCAAAAACCCCTCATACAACTTTCTTGAATGCATGTTCCAGCCAACAAAATTTATGACTCAACTCTAAGGAAATCATGGTATAGAAGGGTGGGAAGGGAAAATTGAAACGGAAACCAGATAGGGTGATGAAGTTAAAAAAAGTAATTGTCATTTTGGTTATAAGAGTGAGTCAAAAGCTAGAAATAATCCCTGGAAGACAGGATATTTAGTTTTTTTTAAAAAAATGTATTTAATTTATTAAAAGAATTTTTTTGAGACAGTGTCTCACTGTCATTGCTCAGGCTGGTTTTGAACTCCTGGGCTGAAGCCATTCTCCTGCTGAACCTCCTGAGTGCTGGGACTAGAGGTGCTCGTCTCCACATTTGGCTGATATTTGATTTTTAAATGTAACCTAAATGATCATTTCATAGGAGTAGTTACTTAATAACACAATATTAAGTTACGACTGGTAAATACTTGTGGGAAAGGGACAAAAAATTATATAGCACACACAGTTTCCTAATTTAGACCATGAGGGTTCACAGATTATTGCTCCCCTAAGTTTGATAATCAGAGAAATATGTTAAAGTATGCCATTAAAAATGTTAAAATTAAACACTAGCAACCATTAGCAGAACAAAAAACAGAATATATAAAATGAATGAGTAAAAATAATCATGGGCAAATGAAAATAAAATTAAAGCAATAGTAAAATCAAAGTATCTTATGATAACAATCATTTAAAAATTATAGGATTATTAATATAAGTAAAATATTGTTCATACTAAGTAGATAACATATAATACTATTTACTCAATAGCATAGACTATAAAATATATAGAAAGTTATTGACACATAAGAAAAATAAGAAAGAATTATATTGTGATAGGAACCACTATTATTGATTTAATGGACAAAAACTTAAATGACTTAGATGACTTAAACAATACAATAATTCTAAATTGAAACAGCTACATGGTAAGCTGTGATTCCACTATAATTTTCAAAATGTAGAAACTGTGGGAGTTAACTGGACATGGTGGCACACTCCTGTAATCCCAGCACTTGGGAGGCTAAGGCAGGAGGATCCTGAGTTCAAGGCTAGACTGGACTACATAGTGAGTTCAAATCCAGCCTAGATTAGATAGTAAAAAACCAAAACCAAAACCAAAAACCCCAAACAAAACAAAGAAAAAAGAAATTGTATAAATTACATAGTGGAAGCTGGTTGTGGTGGCACATGCCTATAATCTAAGCACTCGGAAGGCTGAGGCAGGAGGATTGCTGTGAGTTCAAGAGCAGCCTGGGCTACAAAGCGAGTTCAAGGTCCGGCTAACCTACATAGTAAGACCTCACCTCAGGCAAAAAAAAGAGAACAAATACATACTGGGGCCAAAAGTTAATTAAAAACAATCAATTACTTAGATATTTGAAAGGTATCCTCTTAAAGAAAGATGGCAATCAAATATACAACAGGTTATTTAGGAAATAAAAAGCTGTGAAAACTTGTGGGATGTGACCAAAGCTATAATCAAAGGTCAATTTATAGTCAGTTTTTTGGCTATTAAATAAAGGAAGAAAATATGTCACATATGCTATATTGTCTGATATGATAGCCACTATATACATATATATACATAATATATACATATATATAATATATACAAATATATACACACATATATATATTACTATTAAGTGTGTAACGTGTTCACGACAGGGATGTGATTCATATGTCTTGCTACCTGGTGCTCTGAGCCTTGGTGGCACATGCACGACTGTTCCACTGGGTAGCATGGGACAGTCATGCATGTAACACTGTTGGTTTAAGCCAGCAGGAGTGTGTTAAAATGTGGCAATCAAAACTTCCATGTGCTGTAAGTGTAAGAGACAATGGTTTTCAAAGACAGTATGAGAATAGTAATGTAAAATATTTCATATTTTAAAAGGATGAGTACATGTTGATATTTTGGATATAGTGAATTAAGTAAAATATATTATTAAATCTAAAGTTATATATATATATATAGACCACATTATATTTCTTTCAGACAGTATTACTTCAAACATTCAACTCACATTTAGAAAATAACCAGCAATTAAAGAAATATAGGAAAGGATATAATACAGATAAAGTTGGAAATTAATTATTTAAAACACAAAGAAAGGAACTTACACATAAAATTAAGAAAGAAGTAATAAAATTAAATTAAATGTGAAAGCAGATATGGGGGAGATAAAAAGTAATAAAAATATGATAGTAATTATAACTATGTTGATTTGAAAAAAATCGATGAAACGGGCAATTTTACAGAAAATAATATCATTAAGCTTTACTTAAAAAAGAGATAAGCCAGAAGAGGTAAAAACAAAACAACATGAAACAAAACCATAAAATAAAATGAAAAGTTATGAAGGACTTACTTTTATAAGGAATTTTCTAAACTTATGACTTCTACAGGTAAATTCATTCAAACTTTTAAAAAAATGAAGTAACTGCTTTCCTTTGGAAACTGACCAGAGTACAGGAAAAGAAAATCTTTCCAGCCTGTTCCCTGTAACTCAAATCTTATGATAGTAAATTCCACATAAGGAAGTCTATAGGCTAATTTCTGTAACATGAATGAATGTGAAAGTCTTGAGTGAAATATTAGCAAATAGATCCATTATAACCAAGAAGATTTTTATCCCAGGATGATATAGTGTCAGGAAATCTATAAATGTAATATATTACATCAATAGGGCAGGATTAAAAAACAGCAGCAATACCCATGACCCTTGAAAGGGAGGAGACAAAATTATTAGATTATATGTATGACAAACCCCAGAGAACCCTCTAATAAAGACCAGAGCTAAGAAGAGTTTAGTAACAACTAGTAAGAGTACATAGATTAAAAATTAGTATACAAAAATCAACAGCTTTCTTTTATGGTAAGATTTATCAGTAAGATATTTTAGTACACAAAAGCTCATTTATTAAAGTAATAAAAAAATGAAGTGGCATTATTAAATGCTATGTAAGAATTCCATGAAGAAAATTGCAAAACTAAGGTGAAGTATTGGAGAAAATGTTTTGAACAGCTGAAGAAATATGCAATATTCCTAAGGGTGAGGCAGCACGGTAAAGATGGCAATTCTCCCTGAGTTGTTTTAATACTCATTTATACTTCATATCCAAAAATGAACTTCTTTTTTGGAGTGGGTACAGGGAGTGGACACTTGAAAAACAGAAGATACTAAAAGTAATTCAAAGAATAACAGGGGAAGCAGCTAAAATCAAGACAAAACACAACTGGAGAGAGTTATATTACTTTTAACCTATTCTAAAGCTTTAATAATTAAAAGGCTATAGGACTGACATAGCACAAGCACCTAGATCAGATAGCCAGAAATAAATTTGGCATCCATAAGGATTTATCCCATGATCCCAGGAGGACCACAAATCAGCAGCAAAGGAAGCATTATTCACTCAAGCAACATTGCAGGGATAGCTGTCTAATATTGGGAGGAAAATAATTTACAGTCTCACTTCATACTGGGCCCTAAAATGAATTCCAGATGGAATAAAGAGGTACATTTTCTTTCCAAAAAGACAAACCATAAAAACTTGAAGAAGATGAAATTGAGTATTTAACAGATTTCTGGATAGTGAAGAGCTTCCTATATTAAAACAAAAGAAAGGCATCAAAATATTAAAAATGTACTTAAAAGGCAATTAGTAGGCTCAGGAAAGATTTGCAATAACCGTGACAAAGGGTAATGCTCATAATATACAAATAGTGTATTTAGATTTATAATAAAAGTATTAAATCCTTCATGGGTAAGTAGGGAAGTGACAAAAGGTAAATTTACATAAAAAACTTCAATGAATGCATGGAAACAAATTAAATAGCAGCAGCAATTAATAAATGGAAATATCTTTTTCTACCTACTATATTAGCAAAACTTAGAAAAACAGTAATTGTCAATGCTAGTGAGGATGCAGTGAGATGGGTATTCTCACAGA